CCCTTGGTCAGTCTCATTCTGAGGTTCACAGTAGTCTCTGTGGCATGGCTTTTAGGGATACCTATAATCTGACTCTCCTATGCTCAGTTCTTCCCTTCCCCTCTACATTCTCCTCCTCCACTAGCTAAATTTATTTCCTCCTGGTTCCCCACCTGCACATCCTTCTGTTTAACCTCTCTGCCTGTGAGTTTTTCACAGAATCCATATTCTCCTCTGGGCCAATGGAACATCTTTTTGAGTCACTTTCTAAATATACTGGCACCCAGTAGAGTCACAATGACATGGGGGAAAGGCTGTATTGCTAAGTACAATTATGTTGTATTCCAAATGTCAGCACATTTTGATGTATAACTGGTCCATTATGATTTGCAAATATTTTCTCCTAGACTGTGGCTTATCTTTTCATTTTCTTAACGGTGTCTTTTGAATTACAAAATATTTTAACTTAAATGAAGTCTAATTTATCAATTATTTTATGGCTCATGCTTTTGGTGTCATATCTAAGAACTCTTTGCTTAAACCAAGGTCATTAAGATTTTTTCCTGTGTTTTCTTCTAAGAGTATTCTGGTTTTAGCTCTAACATTTAGGTCTATGATCCATCTTGAATTAACAATGCAAGGCAAGGGTCTAAGTACTTTTTTTTCCCAGCATACGGACTGTTACAGCCTCATTTGCTGAAGAGAAAACCCCTTCTCCATTGAACTGCCTAGGCACCTTTATCGAAAATCAATAGACCTTGGGACTTCCTTGGTGGCGCAGTGGTTAAGACTCCGTGCTCCCAATGCAGGGGCCCGGGTTTGGTCGCTGGTCAGGGAACTAGATCCCACATGCATGTCACAACTAAGAGTTTGCATGCCGCAACTAAGAGTTTGCATGCCACAACTAAGGAGGCGGTGAGCCGCAACTAAGACCCAGTGCAAGCAAATAAATAAATAAAATAAAATAAAATCTTAAAAAAAAAATACATTGACACCCTTAAAAAAAAAAAAAGAAAATCAATAGACCTTAATGTCTACCCTTATGCTAATACCAAGATGTCTTGATTATTCTAGCTTTATAGTGAGTTCCAAATTATGTAGCTAAAGCCCTCCAACTTTGTTTTTCTTTTGTTTTGGCTACTGCATTTCCAAATAAATTTTAGGATCAGTTTGTGAATTTGTACAATTTAGGAAGAATTTCCATCTTAACAATATTGAGTCTCTCCATTTATTGAGATATTCTTTAATTTCTCTCAGAAAGGTTTCGTAGTTTTCAGTGTATAAATCTTACACCTCTTTGTTAAGTTCCTAAGTATTTTTTTCTTTTTGATGCTATTGTGAATGGAATTGCTTCCTTAATTTCATGTTTTTGCACATGAGTGTTCATTATTAATACATAAAACTACAACTGATCTTGCACCCTGAGACCTTGGGAAATCATTTATTAGTTCAATTAGGGTTTTTATAGATTCCTTAGGATTTTCTATGTATAGGATAATGTCATCTGTGAGTACAAACAATTTTTTTTTCTTTATTGCACTGCCCGAAACCTCCAGGATAACGTTGAATAGAAGTGGTGAGAGTGAAATTGTTGTGTTGCTCCCAATCTTAGGGGGAAAGTATTCAGTTTCACCAATAAGTATAATGTTAGCTATAGGTTTTTCATAGATGCCTTTTATTAAACTGAGGAGGTTCTCTTCTGTTACTAGTTTGTTGAGAGTTTTTATCATGGATGGATGTTGGATTTTGTCAAATGATTTTTCTGTATCTATTGACATGATCATGTATTTCTGTTCTTTATTTTATTAATATAACATTAATTTTCACATGTTAAACCAACTTTGCATTCCTGTGATAAATCTCATTTGATCATTGTGTATAGTCCTTCCTGTAGGTTGTCAAATTTGGTTTGCTAATGTTTTGTTAAAGATCTATGTTCATGAGGGATGTTGGTCTGTAGTTTTCTTACAATTTTTTATCTGGCTTTAGTATCAGGGTAATTCACCTTACAGAATAAATTGGGAGTTATTCCCTCTTCCTCTATTTTCTAAAATAATTTGTAAAGAAAAAATATTTCTTCTCTAAATATGTGATAGAACTCATCGGTAATGCCAACTGGGCCTGGGCTTTTCTTTGTAGAAAGATTTTTAAATTACTACTTACATTTATTTACTTGTTATGAGCGTATTCAGATTTTCCATTTATTCTTGAGTCAATTTTCCTATTTTGTGCCTTTGGGGAATTTGTCCATTTCATCTAAATCATCTATTTGCTGGCATAAAACTATACAATACTTTTAGTTTCTATAGGATAAGTGGTGATGTCCCTTCTTTCATTTCTAATTTTGATTATTTGTATCTTCTTATTTTCTTCATCAGTCTAGCTACAGGTTTGTCAATTTTGTTGATTTTTCAAAGAACAAACATTGATTTTCTCTATTGCTTTTCTGTTTTCTATTTCATTACTTTCCACCTTGAACTTTATCATATCCTTCCTGCTGCTCGTTTCGGGTTTATTTTGTTCCTATTTTTCTTGTTTCTTAAGGTGCAAGCTTAGGTTATTGATTTGAGACCTTTTTTCTTTTCTACCGCCTTCTGGCCTCTGTTGTATTTGATGAGAAGTCGTCTGCTGATTGTCATTTTGTTTTTTCTTCTAACCTTCTTCTTCTGGAATTCTTATTATACATTTGTTGATATTCTTGATGTCGTCCCACAGGTCTCTGAGCCTCTGTTCATATTTCTTCAATTTTTAAAAAGTCTTTGTTCTTTAGATTGAATAATTTCTTTTGTTCCACCTTCCAGTTCACTTATTCTTTCTTCTGCTCCCTCAAATATATTGCTGAGTACCTCTAGAGAATTTTTCATTTCAGTTCAGTTACTGTACTTTTCAACTCCAGAATTTCCATTTGGTTCTTTTTTTTAAAAATCGTTTCTACCTCTTTGAGGCTCTGTATTCATTGAGTCTTTCCTTTAATCCTTTAAACATGGTTTCCTTTAGCTGTCTGAACATATTTAAAGAGCTGCTTTGCAGTCTTTTTCTGCCAAGTCCTGCCTCTGAGGATAGACATTCAGACACAGTTCCTATCGACTGCCTTTTTCCTGTGCATGGGTTATGCTTTCTTGTTTCTCTGAATGCCCTAATTTTCACTGACTACTGGACATTTTAGATAGTATAGCAACTCTGGATTCTGACTTTTTCCCAGAGCATTTTCGCTGGCATTGCTGTTTTGCTTGTTTAGTCATTTGACTGGACTCAGTCTGTGAAACCTGTCTCCCATAGAAGGTACCATTGCTGCGGTCTTCACTCAATTTTTTTTTCTTGCTTTTATTTTTAAGCCTGTCTTCCTAGGGATCATCCCCAGTCTGCATAGCTTAGTGTTCTGGCAAAGACTAGTCAAGAGCTTTTGCTTAAACACCTTAAGCCAGAAAGCTTTCTCTCTGCTTCTGACTCTGTATGTGGGCTGGGGAGCACATTCAAACTTTAGGCTGTTTTCATGTCTGCCCCGGCTTTTCTTGCTGCTGGTCTCTCACGTCTCCTCTGTGTGTGCACACAGGCTCTGTTGACCAGGGATGTGTACGTGTCTTGGGCATCCTCCATCTCTGCTGCTCATGCACACAGACTAAGGTGAATCTGGCATTTATGGAGCGCTAGCAAGCCCCTGATGGCCGTCTCACCTCCCAGAACTACCTGGTAAGTCCCCAGCTAGACCACTGGTCCATTGCTTGCCCCAAAGAGGTAAACTCAAGCTAGTGGAACTTCCTGTTCATTTACCACCTAGACGGCCCCTTTACCTGACAATACTCCAAAGAGAGTGAGCCCCTTCTGGAAGCAGCAGCAAGCCTGTTGGTTTACACAGCCTGCCCTGCTCTGGTTGAAAGAGAATACTTGTAGAAATGGGGAGAAGGGAATGAGAGCAACCTAAAGCAAGAGCACCACTAACTCATGCTGTTCCTACCCGAAGTTTAGGAGTTTTCATGAACAAATGCCTCTCAGTTTGTTGTATGCTTTTGGTCAATTTTTAGAGAGCTAAAATGGATATCTTTGACAGTCTTTTTCCAGCTTTCTAGTTGCTTCTGGGGGAGAGGATTTATCAATATCATCATTCTGTCATGCTCTAAGTCAGTATCACAGCCAATCTTTACATTTTTCTGGAATGTGAATTATTAATGCTATTAGAAAGTAGACAATGCAGGTGGAAACATCGCTGTGAAATCTTACTTTCAAATAAAAACATTTGTTTTTGCTTTCTGGGGGAAAAAATTCAGCCAACAAATATAAAGATGGCTAAAGGCACAAGTTTAAATGATTACTGTATTAGATAAAATTAATTAAGAAATCTCACTCAGTGGAAGCAGCACCTAGGGCACTGTAACTTGACTCCTTCACAGACTTTAGGGAAATGAAATGCTCCACTAGAAAGAGCTAGCCCCAAAGCTTTAAGATCCTGCATCCCAGAGCTGATTTTTCTGCTCCTTCTTATTTTCCCACCTCTCTACCTTATGCTTCAACCATGGTCAATACGCGCTGGGCATTTTTATTAGTCCCTTTTTTGAATGGTCCATCAGAGTCCCCCTATCAGGCCATCTGTCTGTTTTCCTTTTTCAATTGCCTCTGACGGGCTGAGACCTTCTGGGCAAGTCACTGGAGCTCTGGACACCCTCACAGCTCCCAGGAAGGAAGATAAGAACTGCCCCATGCATCCGGGGGTCCAGTCTCTTCGAGCAAGAGAAGGCTTAGAGGTGTTTTGTTCTGTTTTGGCAAAACCTCTCTTTTTCAGATGGGAAAATTAAGGCTCTGGGAAATTAAGGGGCATACTCAGGTCACCTTCCAGGAATGTGATAGAGATCAGTATGTCATGCTGATAAAATAGGCAGAAACCCTCAGAAATTGTTACCTGAACAAGCGAAGTATCAGGCTCAGGGCCAGGGACTAGAGATGACTCCGTGACCAACCTGACTCTGAGGACACTGGACACAAGGGCTCCTGAGATGGATTCTTCCCACCCCTCCCCTGTCTCTTACCTTAGCAAAGAAAATCCAGGCTGCACACTGTCCTGGGGTCATAAGGCTTTTTAGCTTCACTGTGCTGACCATGAGAAAGAATCCTAAAAATCCACTGGAAGGAGAAAATATACTTTTGTTAGTGAGACTTGCCTTCCTATAGCCAGTAGCTAACTATTTCCTGTTACATTTTGTATTTACCTTTACAAAAATTAGTCGATACTTAGTTATTACACCACCCCTATCTCATCTCTGTTTTCTAGTGATCTCTGGATAAAAATATCCAAAATTTAAAAACCCATGAAGCTCTACTATGCTAAGGAACTATGAAGAGATCATTTCCCTGGAGGCAGGGAGTGGGTATAGAAATTTGGGAGATCTCTGGCTAAATCATGAAAGAAAAAAAAAAAAAATCCGGAGGACAGTATCTCCTGCTTCCTCCTGTACTACTTCTGGAGCTTGGTGCTTGCCAAGGTAGAGCTTCAACTTTTTTTTCAAGCAGAACAAACTGTTAGGAAAAGACTTCCAAAGAAACACTCACCGTATGAAGTCAGAGGGTCTGGACTGGCCCCTTGCTTCAAGGTAAGAACCTAAAGGGGAGGGCTGCATAACAGAAGTCCCCCAAAGCAGGGTGACCTACACAGACGCTATACTTTGGGAATGATGTCTGAAAGAGCCCTCACCTCCCGAGGGAGCCTGAGGCTGGACAGCATCTCGAGGGCTATCCGGAGGTTTGGAGCTCTACATACCTCCTCCTTTGTAGCTCCAGGGTGTCGGATGCCAGACTGCCATCTGACCTCTATTATAGGTGCTGGGGTATGGCTCCCACCCAGATCATGAGCCCTGAGAGGGAGGGGCCCAATCTTGGGCTTCTCCATATTTCCCCAACAGAGCCAAATAAGGTGCCCTGATCATAGCATGTATTACATAAATGTTTGGCAGGTGTACTTGGAAGCAGGTTGAATTGACTTAAACGCACCTAAGGCCAAATTTCACAGAAATGTGCGCCTTCATTTCATTAGATTCGATTAGGTCACAGCCACATTCTTGGGGCAGGACCAGGGACAGGGATTAGGTTTCCTCTCTATATATTTCAGCCTGTTTGGCCTAACTACCCACAAAGTTTGCACAGGTCTGCACTTGAGTCATGGGAGCCTTGGCCGCACTGATTAAGGCGCTGAGTCACCCTCACAAGGAGCCCCTGTGGGGAACCAGGAAGCTGGAAATCAAGTGACCCGGGATTCTATTCCTGGCTGTGCTCACCGGCCCTCGTAACCTTGACCAAATCCCCATTTTTTTCCCTTTTTTTCTTGCCCCAGGTTCGGTTCTGTGGCCTTAAAGCAGGAATAAGCACAGCGCTCTTCATCCTATTTTATGGAAATCAGAGATTTTCAGAACAGAAAGGTTCCCCAGCCCCAAGTCTCACTTTATTAACAAGCAAACTGGGTCACAGGCGTAATTAGAGCCCAGGTTTCCTGGCTTTTCCAAAGCTCTCCACGGCCCTGCAGACCTCAGCGTGGAAATGTGCTCTCGGCCAGAGAGATGGAGTGAGATGCTCCGGGTGCCCAAGGTCGCGAGGCTGGTAGAGGACAGTGAGGCAGCCGGCCCTCCAGGGCTCCTCTTGGTGGTGTCCACCCCCTGCATCCCCAAAAGGTGCCTGTCCCATCCCCCATACCTCGGTCCCCTTTGCGCTTCTCCTGTCCTCTCCATCCCTGGCCAGAGGAGGGCACAGTTCCACGCTGACCCTTGCCCTCAGCAGACTCTGCTAGGACTGAGCGACCCCTGGCTTGTGACCAACACGCTCCTGAAAGCGTCCATGACTCTTTCCCATCACCTGACTTGCATGTCGGTGAATCATTTCTAAATGACTCATGGGTCCCTCCCTCAACTCCCTCATCTGTGTCTTCCACTTCCAGCTTGTCTACCCCTTGCTGTGGAGGCGGTCTTAAGAGCACTGTGCAGACCCCAGGAGTGAAGGAGCCTGGGGCTCCCTATTCATGGGGTCTCCAGGCCACGGCTACCACTGACCCCTCAGGCCTCCACGACCCCTCCTGAGCTCCCCCAGGACCTCTGAAGGTGACAGCTCTTAGTCTGAGATATGGTTATGGGGGAGTCACGAGATGATGTGGGGAAAAGCGCCACGTTCTTAAAAGAGGGTAAGCCAGAGGTAGAATGTAATAGAGAGTTAAACCAATTCAGATAAAGATTTCCAAATCTTTCAAATTAAAAAAAAACAACACCTGAGTTTTCATGTTGGATTAGAAAAACTTGCAGATTAAAAGGGGCAGAAATGGAGGCAGAAGGTCACCCTACAGGGACTTCCCTGCCAGTCCAGTGGTTAAGACTCTGCACTTCCACTGCAGGAGGCACAAGTTCGATCCCTGGTCGGGGAGCTAAGATCCTGAGAGCCGCGCGGCGTGGCCGAGAAAAAAAAAAAATAGGTCACCCCACAAAGCCATCACCAACGGGCTATGAACCGTGATGCTCTTCTCCAAATAACCAAACCTGGCGGCTCCCTTGGCACCCTGGCCACCCACGCGGCCAAAGAAGCAGGCCCAAAGGGAAGCAAGTCCGCAGGCACCAGGGTGGCACTGACACTCCTGCCACACAATCCTAGCTAATGGGCAAGTGACAAGGCCTGACCAAATGTATAGGAACTGAGAAGACAAATTCTGTCAGTGTTTTCCTGAAACTTTTCTGAGAATGATAAGAAAAATAAATAAATCATTCTGAGGCTCCAATGCAGGAGCAAACTCCAGGATACTGATTTTTTCTGCCCTAACACACCCCCATCAGAAACAGCACCTAGCTGCATATCAGCTCTTTAACTCTCTGTGAAGAACCACTGCTTCACAAGATACACTCTCTTTTGGGTGGAAATAGGTGGTCTGGCTTTTATGTAGCAATTGCTTCTGGTCTGTTGACATTTTATCTACAGATAATAATAATGCCCATCATTTGCTGAGCCGGGCAAGATGCTTTGAGCTTCGTGTACCTTATTTAATACACACAATCACCCTGTATTAGTATTATCTTTCCATTTTACAGATGAGAAAACTAAACTAAGGTTTGGGAGAAGTAGGATAACTTGCCCAAAGACACAAATTAGCAAACGGCAAGGCTGAAATTCAACGCAAGTGTGGTCTTTCGACCACATCAGAATCCACGCTTTGAGACTGTCCACAGAAGCCTTTCCATTCCTCAGCACAATACGGTCAAGTGAAGTGGGGGTCATGGCAGGAAAGGGGTGGGGGTAGGATGGGGATGAACCTCTTTGTATCTAAATGTATCCATCTATTTGGTCCACATCTCTGATACTTCCCAAGGCCAAATATTAACGATCACCTCGTGGTCTAGACAATTCCTAGTCATTGGTTTCAAAATGTGTCTCTCAGAGTCTTAGGGTTCAGTCAAAATTTTTTGGAGGCTGCCCTTTAGGAACAAGAGAGAAATCAAGGTAGACGCCGACAGGGTGTGATTCTGTACCCAAATCTTCCCTTGAACTGAGTCAGTGTCATCATTTTTATATGCTGAAGTTCTGTTTAAGAATTGCTTGTGGGGGAAAAAAATAAAAAAGGGGGAGAATTCTCTCTCTTCTGCAAGTCTGAAAACCACTGCCCTGGCCGAGAAAATTCTTCAGGACAGGGGTCCTCGCAGGTCCCAGGCCAGCCCTGAGCACCTGAGAACGTTCATAACAACCCTCTGATGGCCGACGGGGCAACTTCCTCACCTGCACCAGATACCACTTTCTTCCGACGCTCATTCAGACAACAGACAGTGACCCGGGGCTTCACGAAGACACGGCTGGTAGTCCAGAAACATACAAATCCACAGCGCGAGGGGTTTTCCGAGTTAAGATTACCTGGCACAGCAGCTGCCATGGAATCTGTAGAAATACAGGAACGGAAAGTCCAGGACGCTGAGGAGATCACCTGAGGGAAACAGCAAGGGTGAGACACACAGCCCGAAAGCCCCCTGCCCCCGGCTGCCCGGAAACACAAGGCAAGGATCTTAATTACATCAGCCCTCTGAGCGTTGAGCTGCCCAGCAGTGAGTTCACTCCGGCATTCGAGGGTTTCTGTGTCCTTGGCGTTGTCTTATTGTAATAGTAGTATGGTGATAATGACACCCATTTAGTGAAAGCCTGCCCTGTGCAGGGCCCTGTGTGAAAAGCTTCCCGAACATTGTCTCTTTCAATCCTTGTAACAACTCTGTGAAGCTTTGTTATCCCCATTTTAACTGCAGCTCAGAGAAGTGATTTGTTTACGTTTGCACAGCTCTCTTAACTGTTGAGCCAGGATGTGGACCCCGGTGACTTCAAGTCCTAAGATCTTTCCTCTTCTCCAGGCAGCCAGCCCTGGCCCAGAGCGTAGGACAAAAAGAATCTTTTTTTAAGATTCTTCTATTCTTTTCTGCCTTATATCTAAAAAAGGATCATAAACGCATGCCTCTGACATCTCCTCTCATCTTTGTGTTTAATTACCACACAAACAGAGAAAGGGCCAAGCGCCCGTGCATACTCATTTTAGTTCAAGGTCCAAAGGGTACATTTATTTCTAGTGAAGTAAGTTCATTCTTTTAGTTCCACTTGGTGCAAGAGGAAATAATCACACATATTGGCCGCTTCCCTCTCTGGAATTTGAACTTGGTCACAAACAAGAAGTCAGGAGATTAAAAAAGCAGAAAGCCTTCCAAAAATGTCCAGAGAAAAGGAATTAAGCATTTCCACAGCAGATAGCCTAATCCTTCCAAATCTGGAATTTCTGAGATTCTGGAGGCGCCAGACCTTCCAGACCCCTGGGCCTCGGTCTGTCTCTCAGTTCTGGATGGACTGGAGCACGTTAGGGGCAGTGGAACATCCTTCATCACTACACTTACTAATCAAGAGTTTCAGAACAAAAGACACAACGCATCGCTACACTTCCTTGTACCTAAATGATCTCAAACGATTCAACCATCGACTGGGAAGGAAAGGTCTGAATTCCACTTCTCTGGACGGCTGCTTTTTTCTACCATAACTATTGTTATTTTGTTTGATTTGGTTTGTACATATGTATGTGTATTTAACTAAAAGGAGACGTCCCCTAGGATCTGGTTTTCGTGCAGCCCGACAAAAGGCTAAGAGTTTTTGTTCTCCTTCTGCTACGGCTCCACTGGACACCCCTGTCATTTACTAGGGACCCATACTGGTGGAGGGACTTTGTAACTGACATCAGGCCCAGACATCCAGTGCATGAGGAGCTCCACTGCTTCTGTAGCCCCTTTTCGCACAGAAGTGACAGCCGAGGAAACCCTGAGCACCCCGATGCTGGCAGGCGGCCCCAGCCCCCTGTAAGGTGGGCGAAGGCATGTTCGTGGAGGATTTGCTCTGTCTCTCTGGCAGCTCTTGGTTCTTGGCTGTTTCCCAACCGCCCTCTCAGCGTGAGAGAAACTGCAGCGCAGTCAGTGTGATCAGGAGGACTGAGCAGAGAAGAATAAATTAAACGCAGGACCTCAGAATTCAGGGGAGGTGACCTGGACTCCCGGTGCGGCCCAGGCTACGGAGGGGTCTGAAGGGCAGTGGAGTGGGCAGAGGTAGACTGGGAGGAAGGAAGATAAAGAAAAAAACATCACCATCCTAGGGAATTGACCAGCTGCATAATAATCCTCCCTCAAATCCTAAAAATTGATCCTGTCGATTATTGAGAGCAAGAGAGAGAATAGCTCACTCTTCCCTTTGAGCCATTTCTAAAACCTCCACACATTTCTCACGTAGTTGACTCCATGACTGTCTCTCCTTCTAGAGCCATCGAGTCCTTGTGAGCAAGGATTCTATTATACTCAACACTTGTATCCACTGTGTGAGGACCATCTCTGACAAATAACAAGCACTCCTGATCCAAGAGTATCTGGAAGACTTCAACCCCTCTTGCTTTCCCTGGAGAGAATGTTCCGAACACTTTCCACTTGGCTCTGCTGGTCCTCAATCTCAAATTGGCCCCCAGTACGTCCCCCTTGATGCCTTCAGCCGGCCTCATCTTCTACTTCAACAGAGAGGGTGCACACCAACCTCTAAACAGCAAAGGTTAATAACTGTGCTACAAAAATAGCCCCGAAAATGTTGCAGTACGTGGCTAGCTGGCCCCAACCACATGAGAACTAGACCCAGGAACTAAAAACTGTGTAAAGGTGCTCAAAAGACAACACTTCTGCACCACCTAGTGCAGAACGCACACTTTAAGCACAAATTAAGTGGTTCAAGCTCTGTACACATGCTTTGTGGCATCAACACGCAGCTTATGCACAGAAGTCGGAGTTAAGCCTTCATGCCTGCGCTCCACAGTTAAAATTCTGCTGACTCTCTGAGCGAGGGAGTGAGTCCCATCTCTCTGAAGATAATGGAGCATGAAATCGCCACGGTGAAAAGTGTGGCACAATTTTACCACATCAAGAATAATGGATACTTGGACATCAAGAAAATTTCCTCTCACCACATTTTAGTCCTCAGAGTGAGTGGAAAAGTGGAAGGTCAGTTCCAGGATGTAGTTCGTACTGCTTGCTTTATCTCAATATGAGCAGTAGACACACCACATAACAAGGTCATTTCTGGTCAGATTCCCGAAAGTCTTCCTGCCCTTCTGGTTCCTTGAAATTTTCTCTCTTGAAAATGCCACAGCAGAGGGACCCATACAAAGATGAAATGCAAACTTTCAAACAGAGGAAGAATTTGTTTTCTCTACTTTTACTTAAAGCAGTCCTGGGGGTGCAAGTTTCTAAGATTCTTGGAGCTTCTGCATGAACTGTGACTTTGAAAGATTAGAAGGAGAACTAGATCCCACCCATCAAGAAGCAAACCCAGTGCCTGAAACAGGAAAAGTGTCAGGGTCTGCACCTAGGACATGGAGAACTATCTACCTGGTCCCTACCTACCACTACATCCCAATGCACCCCAAAGGTGGTGACCCAAAGCCACACCATCTGCATTGCAAGAAAGCCCATGTTTCTAGTCACTCGAGAGTGAGTGAGAAGGGCGGCTCAGTCAAAAGCACTACTGAGAGACCATCACCCACCTAGTAGTATAGCTAATGTAAGACAGACAACACCAAATGTTGGTGAAGACATGGAGAAACCGGAACTCTAACACACTGTTGGGTGGGAGGGTAAAATGGTACAAATGCTTTAGAAAACTGGCACTTTCTTTAAAAGTTAAACATATATCTACTGTAAGACCCAGAAACTCTACTCCTAGATATTTATCCAAGAGACATTAAAACATAAGTCCACCAAAAGCACTGTATGAGAATCTTGAATGGCAGCTTTATTCATAACAGCCCCAAACTGGAAACATCCCAGGTGAGCATCAACAGGTGAATGCATAAACAAAGGGTTCGCACACTGGCACACTAGTCAGCAATAAAAGAGAAGAGACTAGTGAGACACCCAACAACCTGGATGAATCTCTAAATGCTATGCTGAATGAAAGAGCTAGACACAAAAGAATACTTCCTGTGTGTTTCCATTTATATGAGGCTCTAGAATAGACAGAACTTATGTATGGTAACAGAAATCAGATCAACAGGGGCTTCTGGTGGTCGGTGAGAGGGAGTGACTGAGAAGGGACGTGAGGAAACTTTCTGCAGTGACAGAAGTTTTCTATATCTTGATAGAGGTGTGAGTTACATGGGCATATACATTTGTCACAATTGATCAAGCTGCACATTTAAGATAGCTGCATTTCCTATGTGTAAATCATATCTCAATTTTAAAATGTTTTGAGAGTACTACTAAATAATGAAGATACAAGTCAAAAAAGAAGAGGTAAGAAGAAACCAAAAAGAATAAAGCCCTGTTTTAAAACATCAGAAATTAACAGAGCCTTAAAAAAAAAAAAAAAGGCTGCACCCGCGGGTCCTGGCTCTTACTGTGTCTTAATTGGTGCAGATGTGGGAGAATCAGGAAGCTGCTCTCCCTGACCCACACCCAGGCCTTGAAGTGGACACTCCAGATGGAAAGTATAATGAGCAAGTGGGAAAGAACGAAGTGCTGTTCCACCTTAAAAATGGGCTGGACCACCCACGGGTCCAATGAGGAAGCTAACGAATTGGCAGGAATTGAAGCTGCCAATCAGAGCAGTCCTCGAATACTTCCGGAGGAAAGAGATTCTCCTCAGCGGTTTTATTTGCTTAAGTTTTGTAATCAACCTTATGCCCCTATGAGAAGACATCACCAGGACCCATCAAAGGGTTTAGGGCAACTGACCTGGCTTTATAAAGCTGGGAAAAACGGATCCCCAAGGGGTCTTCTAGATTCTCAGCTTCCATAATCTCACACACCAAATCCCTACCTTCGTATCCATCTGCCTTAATTACCTACTTGAGCAAACCTGTGTGCTTTTTGAAACAATGGGCCACTGCTTAGAGCTGGACATGGTTGTGCATTACACAACTTCAGTATAAACACACTGCACTGTTTATAAAGACCACAACTGTATTTGTTACTTCATTCACGTAAAAGTAGGTGTGGTTCCACAGTGCTTCCCTGCAATGTTCACGGATTAGATACCCAACTTGGTGTTGGTATAGATGAACATCTCCGGCTTCTTCTGGAAGGCTGCCGCCAGTTCGTAGCTAGCCGCACACCTACCTTCCCTGGGGCCTTTGCCTGAGCCCTGCTACGATGGCTACTGAGGCCCACAGGACTCCTGACCCCTACGGCTGTGGGGCATCCCCTCGCAGGGAAGCTTTAGCTAAACTCCAGTCTCCCTCTGCTACTCACTTCCTCATCTTGGTCACATCACTTAACTCCTCTGGGTTTCAATTTCCTCATTTGTAAAATGTGGTGGCACCTTGGATAATCACTAAGGTTCCTTCCAGTTCTGATAAGCGTGAGTGTAACAGATGAACTAGCACAACCTCTTAGTGAAAGGCAGAGTGGCTTCTTTAAGTGAGTATCATTCACCCAAATCCACTAGAAATCACTCAGGGGGAAAATGAACATGTAAACCAAGAAGAACCAGCAAGCATAACGCTCCAAAGGTCTTTGATTAAAAACCTATTTGAAAGGCAGAAGACACTTAGTAGGCTCTGAAATATCTGCTGGGTGGCAACCCTCTGGCTGCACGAAGGAATGCTGAGAGGCAGGATTTGGAGGCGGACACTCAGCGGTACAGGTAGGTGTTTAGGGTCAACACCAGGGTTTCATATGACTTGTAATTTTACAAAGGATAGGTTTTCAGGCTATGGGAGTGGGCAGAAAACAGTGGATGTGCTTCAGTATGGGCAAGTGTAGAAGCACTCATGGAGAAAAAAATAATTCAAATTATGCTAATGAGACAGCAGTTCGGATAGGTCATGTCCAATCTAGAAACATGACCCGAGTCACCATCAGCAATTCCCTGAGGATATTAGTTCAAACAGTCTGAAGCAGCTAAAAACACAAACAGAAAGGGGTTGCTGTTTGGGGCACAGTAGGGAGCTAGAAGGGGCTTCAGAAATAATCCAGACCACCTTTCTTAATTTCCGGATAAGAGACTGAGACCCTGAGGGCTTGGGTAATGCCTCATGCATAGCAGAGGTCAATAAACATTAGTTTAAGGAGTGTGACCAATAAAATGTGTATTTCCAGCCACGCTGCACACAGATATTTTTGCTTTATCTTTGCATCAACTTCAAAACCTTTCAAAGTAAAAAAACACAATGAAATAGAGGATTACGGAAAATTCCTGAATTTGGAAAACAACTCTAGGGTAATTGAGGCAGCAACAGGGTAAAGGTAAGTTTTCTTTTTTATTAATTTAATTCTATTTATTTATTTTTTATACAGCAGGTTCTTATTAGTTATCTATTATATACATATCAGTGTATATATGGGCGAAGGTAAGTTTTAAAATGACTTCTTTCATCTGGAATTATGAAAACTGGATGACAATATATGATAAAAATGGATAAAAGGATGTCACTGAGAAATAGGTGCAATTTGAACTTCTCCACCAAATCTTTAGCCCTAGGATTGAAGAGCAATTCTGGGTACTTGAAGGGAGAATTTTAGAAAAGGACAAAGCAAGCACTAGTTTATTTGGCAGATTATAAACCCGCCTGTACACCTGAGATTGCACCAGATGAAAACATCAACAATAAAAGATGGAAAAAGGTTCAATTCATGGGCAATAAATCCATTAACGGGATACTAAGAACAGTTTCAAGTATGTGGGCCATTCCTAACCCTTAAGTTTGACACCCTAGAAGGCAGCTACATTCTCTTACAAAATTTCCCTCAGAGATATAACCGGAGTCAGAGCACTGGGTTGAATGGGCAATGTAAGATACACAAACAAACAAACAAACAAAATCATGTTTACCTGTGGGGTGAGATGCAAACGCCAGGAGCACCACGCTGAAAAAGAAACAGCAGACTCGTGAAGAAAGCTTCGCCAGCACTGAGAAAACAACACCCATTTTCACCCATTCTCCTTGGAAATAGTGAGATTTGCCCAAAAGGAAACTATCTGCACTGAACGGTCTCTTTCTGCCTAAATCCAGCTCGTCAGGGAGAGAGTGAGAATCCCCTGAAATGCCTCAGGTCCGGCAAGAGGGCTGGATCTCCCCCGGGACGGACACTAAGGGTCCGTGCCCCTCTTGGAGGGCCAGCCCTGCCACTAACGATTATCACATTCACCTAATCCACAGAGAGTGTCTGTCAGCTAAACAAAGCAGAGTCTAAATTACAAACAGGCTGCAGCCTAAAAGTTAGCTGTCGAATGTGAGCTAAATCACAAAATTCGCTACACAGAAGAATAGGTAAATTTCCAGGAAGCTAGCCCACAGAATGACCCATGCCATCCACCCTGTGTCTGAAAACTACCTGGACCAATTTGCAGTTGAGGCTGTATGGGCTGATGCAGGCCATACCTGTGCTTGGCTGTCTCCCATCTTTATCTCTGGAAGCCTGTCCCATCTCCCGGCGCCTGTCTACAAGTGCCTTTGTGCGGTCCTAAGCCCACCTTCCGTACCCTCTTCCATCAAAACTCATGCCACGCAGGCAGCTGATTTAGTTGGAGGTTAGGAATGAAACTTTTAATTCAAATATAAGAAGGAAAGTTTTCTTAAAGCGCTGGATGGCCTGCTCTGGTTCTCAACCCTGGATACACATCCAAATAGTGTAACATCCTGGCTAGAATCTCTAAGGTACGGTCCGGGCATCCATTGTTTTTATTTGTTATGGCTCCCGGAAGCTACAAAGTACCAGGATCAGGAACCACTGCCACAAATCTCCAGTTGGTGACATGACAGCCAGGGAAACCAATGTGAGCTCCTCAGCCCTGCTCTTGGGTTATCTCCCAGCATCATTTCTGTTTTTCTGATGGTTTTCAGAGGAGCAGCATCACAGAAAGAGGCAGGAGGAGAGGAGGGTTGTGACAACGGCCATAAGAATAGTCACATTCTGGTCATTCGGAAGTTGTAGGTTTGTGAGACAAGGGTTTACAGGTAGCTAGCTGTGAAAAAATACACACACTACAGATAAGACTGGAGATTCCCTGTCCTTCTCATGGGCGTCTGCTTGCTGTCTCTTCTTTCTCTGGAAAACACATACCCTGTACATACTCCATTATTCTATCTCGCAGGATCCCCTCTCGGCTTCAACTTCAGCAGCAGAAGTTATTGCTCCTATGGCAGGATGTGAGGGGCCCCTTTCCATCCCAAAACATCTCCCAGGGCCTGACATGGTATCCCAAATGCCATCATCGGAATCACCCCAAAGGGTGACTCTAAAAGAAAACACTAGGGGGTTAAAAATAAGAGATAATTAAATAAAAGAGTTGGCTCTCTAGTCCATGTCTGAATTTTGTAAATATAGAGTTACACCCTCCTAATTCCTACACTGTGATGACCTGGGGAGCAAGAACCATATTTTATTTATCTTTGGAGCTCAAGTATTTAGCAGGGCCAGATACATAGCAGGTTCTCCCTATGTTTTCAAACCAGCAGAGAGAGATCAAACCAGCAGGCAGAGCTCCGGGCTGGCACCTACAGGCACAGCTGCCCTACAGAGCTGAGTGAATGCAGATCTCTGGAGGCTGATACCCAGGGCCTGTGGGAAATCGAGTCTCAGCCCTGGCTCATCTTCATCACTTGTACTGAAAGAAGACGTGGAAACAGCAGTGTGGCTTTGGCGGGGTGTGCAGCGGGCTGAGGCAGGAAGCCTTGAGCACCTGGCTCCCAGGTAGTGAAACCCTCACACGGGGGAGGGCGGGGAGGGCAGGAGAACTAGCTGGGGGTCACAGTGGCTGTTTTTTTCCACCGCCAAAACCCTCTGCTGCTCGCCTTGGCTATAAGCTCTGTGGGGAAAAAGAACTGTCTAAAGTAGTCCGATGTCATGGAAACATTTCAAACACCAAGAGACTTCTGCATTTTCAGAAACATCTCTTGAAAAGGCAGCTGGTGGGTCTGGGCAGAGTGGAACTAATGACTGTTCCACTGAGTACAAAAGAGGCCCCAGCTATGTTTGGGTTGAATCCTGTGTTCAAAAAGGCATTTTCATAAATACTAAGATACTTAGGAACTTTACCTGTACGTAGAGAACACAGATCTTGAACATTTTAAGCTAACTTCCTGCAGAAATCCATGTGGCCAAAGGCTGAGAGACACCTCTCCGACCTTGGTCCTCTGGACTGAATGTTGTTGCATTAGGCAAACTTGAGTTCTAGACAGCAAAACCTCACTTTCTCAATTAGGTCCCTCAGTGCACCATGTGGGACTCTCAGAATGCAAGAATACTCCCCAGCTATTCCATTTAGCAGCCAACCCCTATTCTTTACTTGGCTTGGGGCAACGGTACAAATGGAAATCCATATACTACACTTACATATTATAAATCAAGCCTCAAACTTCATCCTACCTTAACAAATACACCTTCAAAGCAACCTGAAAGTCCAGATTAAAATTTAGAATTCTTGGAGTCCTTGGAGCTTCTTTTCAGAAGGTGTTAGTGTGGGGACATCCTGCCTCTGGCTCCCGGCTCCCAGTGCACCCTCTTCTCTCCCGACACCAGGCTCCATCCTGCACCCAAGGACCTCAAACGTGCGTGTGGACACCTCAGTCTGCAAGCCCACCCTCCATGCACATCCCTCATACTAACAGCCTTTCTTTGGACATCCATTGGGTCTCGGAATGAGTTAAGAAGACAGACCCAGGGAGGCCTTGGAATCCACTTGCATCGGAAATTCCAAGGCCCAGTCTAGAAGGAAGGGTGTGGGTTCTTAGCCTTACAGACTGCATATGCCTTGGGGAGAGGCATGGCTCTCTGAAGTGTGGGGCTGGATGGAAGCCCTTCTTGTCTGGCCTAACGGCAGGACCACTATTTAGTTTCTGCAATTCTGATCATCTCACCAATTATTTAGCTTGCCTTCCTGGTAGGCAGGCACACTGGCTCAGATCTCCCTTATCAAAATATTACTGGATATAACTGACTCACTTTGCTGTACAGCAGAAACTAACACAACGTCATAAATAAACTATACTCCAATAAAAAAATTAATAGAAAATATATACATTATTGGAAAATAAAAATCCATTAGCTCTAGAAGAATATGAGTTATTCTTTGAAAATTTAAATTATATTTTACCTGAATAGATAGTTTAAGTACTGCTGGTCAATGTCACTAAGAAATGAGAAAAAAAAAAAAACATAAAAGGTAAAATAATATGTGTTTAACATACACAAAATAGTCATTTTCTTCCATTAATAAATTAGATCTATGTATAAGTTCCTAGATTTATAAATCATTAATAAACACTAAGAAAAGTACTTTATATTCAAAACCATTTCCTGGCTCATTTTTTAAAAACGTTTTCAATTTAGTACTATCACATGCATTTTCACTTGTGGCCGATTATGTGTACATTTGCCATTTTAAAAGGAGTGTCAGCTCTCTCAGGTCACTGGACTGGCTTCTAGGGCTACCATACTTGACAAATAAAAATACAGGACACCCAAATAAATCTGAAATTCACATAAAGAATAATGCTTTAGTATAAGTATGATCCAAATATTGCATGAAACATACTTAAACTAAAAAAATTATTTGCTGCTTCTCTGAAATTCAAATTTACCTGGGTATCCTGTATTTTATCTAACAACTCTACTGGCTTCTTGCTGAAAAAACACTTTATTCGAAGAAAAAATGGTGCTCTAAGGACCCATCACATACCCTCAGCATGTATAACCTTCTCCCAGGAGTCAGTCCCTTCAGACCTTTCTTTGTGGGCCTCAGACGGCCCCGAAACCCAGTGGCCAGCTGGCCAGTGGAGGGCTCTGACCTGGCGGCTCCAGCCCAACCAAGGCCTGAATTCTCATCTTTTTCATTTACATTCAGCAACTCTGTTCCACTGACTGCCCTCAACAAAGGCCTCATTTTACTCCAGAACAGAGCTGGTGACGGGGGAGGCTTCTGGGTCTAAAGTTAGGAAGGGGTTGGAGAAACAAGAAAAAAGACTTGTGCCTCTGAGCTGGAGGAAGTGAACTGGGGCCCAAGGCAGCCGGTCACGCAATTTTTGTCAAAATGTCATCTAAAGGGCTGCCCTGAAGGAAGAGGAGAGAGACTTCCAGGCTCTTTGCACATCGCTGGCAATGGTTCAGGTACTGATGGACCTGGCCTGCTGCCCTCCCCCCATTCTGGACTCATGGAGTCTCTGGCTGATGGAGGAAACTCACCACCCCGTGGGTCTCACCCCTTTCCTTTAACCAAAGGACGACTCACCAAACTTTAAAAGTTTACCTTAACGCGTTGGGTTTCTGGGATTTCTGTAGTATCTTATAAGCCCCTGGAAAGGAAGCAACACAAGTCACTGACACGCGGCATTCTGTGGAGGGGGCGACTGGTGCTTCCTGGGAAGCAAGAAACCCGCAGAGAGAAGGGCCCCTCTTCCCTGCAAGGGTCACCCGCAACCAATAGGGGGCGACCAAGAGCACTCTGGAGAATTTCAAGGATGCACATTCGATAATCCCCCAGATGATGCAGTTCATAGAGAGAGCGCTGGGCTGGAAAGGCTCGTGGTCCCCAGAAGGATACAATTAACAGGATTGTTAAGCCTGGATTTCCTTTGATGGTGCACATGAGAAACACCGCAGGACTTCTGACCCATGTGTCACAAAGTCAGGGCACTGTTTTTCCCTCTAAGACTACAGATAGGAAACACTGGTTTGAAATAAAGTAGATGGTCCTTTTATTTCACCCACTTAATTTTTTTTTTTTTTTTTGTATACTGCTGAAAGAGAGTGTTTTTGACACAAGCCTCTGGATCTGGATCTCTTCTCACCATTTTTAGAGAAGACCAACCAGCACTGCACAAGTGGATTTGAGCAAGCAAAGCCTGGGCCCTGGCGAGTTAATTAATGTTTGTCATGAGAAAGGCGAGACTCTATGGAAACTGCAAACATTTCAGGAAAACTCCAAAACAGAAAATTCAAACCCGAAAAATGCCCATTTAATTTTAACCTTGACACCTTGGATTTCATCTTCCTATTGTCCAGGATCACTAAAAAGTGGATACATGATAAGGAATAATAAGTCTCAATTGTTTCAGTAAGACTTCTTTAAAAACTTACCGACGGGGCTTCCCTGGTGGCACAGTGGTTGAGAATCCACCTGTCGATGCAGGGGACACGGGTTCAAGCCCTGGTCTGGGACAATCCCACATGTCGCGGAGCAACTAAGCCCGTGTGCCACAACTACTGAGCCTGCGCTCTAGAGCCCACGAGCCACAACTACTGAAGCCCACACACCTAGAGCCCATGCTCCGCAATAAGAGAAGCCACTGCAGTGAGAAGCCCATGCACCGCACGAAGAGTAGCCCCCACTCGCCGGAACTAGAGGAAAGCCCACACAGCAACAAAGACCCAACACAGCCAAAAATGAATAAATAAATTTATTTAAAAACCCTTACCTATGCAGAATAAGTGAATTACAGCCCAGAAATAACCATCTGGATCAAACTGTAACACAAGATTTAAAAAAAAAAAAAATTGTCTCTAAGTACAGACAAACGGGATCCAGTATGATGATCAGAAACACTAAACGTCAATGCACAGTGCCAGGCATGGTGCCAGACAGGACTCTGGGACCTTGGGCCAGTCCCTCCTTATTTCTCGCCCAGTTGCCTACAACATTTCCTAACAGGGCTCCCTGCCTCCAGCATCTCTTTCCCCATCCCCCCCACTCCCCAGCACTGCATCTCTAAAAAGTAGACCTGATGGTGCCACCTATTGCTTAAAATCATCCAGCCATCCCCCAGTGACTTCAGGGTGAAATCCAAACTCAGGACACCCAAGAATCCCTATGACAAGCTCCTATCAACCCAACCAGTCCCATCCACTGCCCATCCCCCTCCAGAGAAAGAGAACTTGCACGTCCCTGGCCAACTCAGCTGAGGGGCACTCCCGCCTCTTCTTCCCCTCCTTTTTCCATTTATCTCACCTGACACACTCTGTTTTACTTGTGACCTGTCTCTGTCTCCACTCCGCACTAGATGATTAATTCCAAGAGGGCAGGAATTTGCCCAGGGACGCACACATAGTAGGTGCTCAATAAAGTTGAATCAGGCCACTCAGGACGCCTCTAGGGCTCTGTCCGTACCTGCCTTCTTCTCCTGGGTTGCTCCTCCTCACCCTTCAAGATTTAGGTACAGTAAGCAGAGCCTGGCTCCAGCATCAGAAAGATCCGGGTTAATTCTCTTGCCCCCTTCCCTTCCCCACATCCAAAAGACTATTGCCCATCTGCTATAAACTAGCATCGTAATTAAAAACATGTCTTTTGGGGCTTTCCTGGTGGCGCAGTGGTTGAGAGTCCACCTGCCGATGCAGGGGACACGGGTTCGTGCCCCGGTCCGGGAGGATCCCACATGCCGTGGAGCGGCTAGGCCTGTGAGTCATGGCCGCTGAGCCTGCGCGTCCGGAGCCTGTGCTCCGCAACGGGAGAGGCCACAGCGGTGAGAGGACCACGTACCGCAAAAAAAAACCCATGTCTTTTGGAGGCAGACAAGTCTAGGTTCGAAGACTGGTTGTGCCACCATCTATACACTCACTATACCAAGCAGGTGAAAAAATTATTTTAATCTAAGTCTGTTTCTTCTTCTGTAAAATAGTAATCCTAACCATTCAAGGTTTGTTGTGAGAATTAAATGAAACAGAGCATACAGAGATCTCAGCACAGTGCCTGGCACACAAGTGTTCAATATATGATGGCTTTCATGTTACTAAAACTTGATATATTAACTGGAACAAAATAAAGGATCAGTGACTTAAAAAGAAAGAAAGAAAGAAAATAGAAAGATCTGGGTTAAATTCTAAAATCCCCACTTATTTGTTAGCTGGTGACCTTTTGGGCCTCGCTATTCTTCAGCTATGAAATGGAGATAATAATAGCTGCTACCCTTGTGGAATTGCTGTGAGATTAAATAGAATGAGGCACTAAAGCATTGGCACAGAGCCTGGCACACAGTAAGCTCCCTATAATTGCTCCCTATTCCTGCTCTGAGCCTCGAAGGATCCCACACCTCCCCGGACAGAGCCCTGGCCTCCCTGTGTTATAATTATCTGTTCATCGTCTGCCTCTTCCCCTTTGCTCTGAGTAGACTCCGACTTCTGCCTGGATGATGGCAATTCCTCCTTGTGCCCCCAGAGCCTGGCTCGGTGCCTAACACTTGATGGGAACTGAATAGATGCTGGGGAAGAAAAGAAAGAAAAAAAAGAGCCCGAAATGAGATGACTCCTGGAGGTGGGGGTGGGTTCTCAGTGCCTAATAAAGAAAAACTCAGTCTGACAAAGTGAAAATCACTGTGCAGATGAGGCCCTTGGGATGAGAGGAAAAGAAAATCAACTTCACCTCAGTGTGTGGGGCTGGAGTCATTTGGATGTGCAGGTCCTCCCAGCACGTACAGAGGGTGGACCGCCCCCATCACGGCACCCAGAGGCCCGAGGTCTGCGGGCTCCCCTGCTGCAGCCTGGGAGAAGGCAGAGACCTGAGGAGAGGTGTTGGCCTGGCCAAAAAGTGCCCTAGGGCCCCGAAAGTTTGCTTTTACATGCCTTTGTATAGGCCAATGTTATCCTGCTTCTCAAAGGAAGGATTCGGAAATTCTGCTCATCCACGCAGGCTTCAGAGATACCTGGAAGGCAAAGTGAGTCTGCCTGAACTCACCTGGGAGTCGTTGAAGGGCAGGCACCCCGCGGCAGCCAGGAGGAAGAGGGCACTGTGGAGAGGAGGTAAACACGCAGCTTCACTTGTCAACATCAAGGGTGAGTCCCAGAGAGTGTGGAGGTTGAAATACACGGACTGGAGCTCGGATGAGGCAAAGATCTCGTGAGACCACACCCAATTCCCCCGTTCATCCTCTGAGAACCTCACTACCCAGGTAGTTTTCAATTATGTGCTCTGCTGACACCAGTTTCTTCTCTGGGGCTCGGCTAGCCATCTTCCCAGAGACAGGCATTTGCAGGACATGTGCAAAAGCACAGCTGGCTCACTTGAGAAAAACAGTATATATAAAAGGAGACTTCTTTAAACTACCGATCCCCAAAAATACACTAGTGGAAAATTGGGCAAGCAGACTACAATTATTCCGCTTACCAATAAGAAAACACCACGGAAAGCACATTACAAACTTATCGCCTTATCCAAATGATCAAACTTAACATCTCCAGTAGTGGGACAGAGCTACATCACGTGCCTCCTGATACGATGTACTGAGAAGGGCACAACATCACTCATGTGGTATTCCTGCCAAATATGCATAACCTGGACTGAATCACAAGGAAACACTGAGACAAACCCAAATTCAGGGATAGTCCACAAAATAATGGGCTTACGCTATTCAAACTATGAAGCCAATGAAAGGCAATAAAATGTCGAGAAACTGTTCCAGATTAAAGGATATGAAAGAGACATGACATCTTTGGGGGAAGAAATTACTATAAAAGACAATATCGGGATCATTGGCCAAATTTGAACATCGACTCAATATTACATAACAGTATTGTATCCGATGTTAATTTCCTAAACTTAAACATTGCACTGTGGTTATAAAAGAGCTTCTTATTTTTAGGAGATACGCTTTGCAGTATTTAGGGGTAGAGTCATAACCCCTGCAACTTATTCTCAAATGGTTCAGAAAAAAATAAGAGTAAGAATAATTATGTATATATTCTTACATATTTTATGTGATATATATATACATATGTATATATGGAGAGAGAAAGAAAGCAAATACAAAAAACGTTATCAGTGGGTGAATCTAGATAAAAGGTATATGGGAGTTCATTGTAATATTCTTGGAGCTTTTCTATCGGTTTTAACTTTTTCCCAAATAAGGGAATTCCCTGGCGGTCCAGTAGTTAGGACTCGGCGCTTTCATTGCCAAGGGCAGGGGTTCAGTCCCTGGTTGGGGAACAAAGATCCTGCAAGCCACGAAGCGTGGCCAAAAAAAATAATAATAAAACAAACAAAAAAAAGTTTCATTAGAAAAAAATCTCTTATACATACCAAAATATTTATGGCTGAAACGCTACAATGCCTGGGATTTGCTGAAATGAGGCGCTGGGTAGAGGCTTAAGTTGAAAACTGTTGAATCTGGGGGATGAGTCTACAGAGCTTCATTATACTGTTCTGTCTACTTTTATATCTGTTTAGAAATTTCCATAATAAAAGGTTCTTTTTATAATTCTTGCACAAAAAAGTAACATTGCCGATCACGATATTTTCACATTTTCTCATTCATTAGAAAGTCGATTTGGAGATACTTTTTGGCTTAGAAATCAGTGGTTTTTAGATGGTATATGGGCTTCATATACCAAAATATCTTGGCCTATAGCTTTTGCCAATCATTCTCTCCTCCGAAAGAAAGGCACCAGAAAACACAAAACCCAAAGGACCACATGCTCTTTCCTCCCCTTTCCATTTTATGATGCAACAACATACTCAGGGTTGGGTCCCTTCTGACCATTGCATTACGCAGCGAGCAGCAAAGGATCAAAGACATAAATGGGGGCAGTGAATACAGCATTTTCACTGTTAGGGAAATTTATCATATGACATCTCACACCAGTATATGTTCTACATACATATCAAATTCTGTATTACTTACATATATATACGTAATGCACAACAGCCTGATACTCATAACCTAAGTACACTGGCAATAGTGATGTTAATCAATTCTGTCCACACACACCCCCACACACACAGTCTTCACTGTTGTCATCACACATAGTGTGTAACCCTTAAAAGACTAGCATGGCTGCTGGGCCTGAGGCAGGAGGATGGGTACAGAGGAATCCTCAGAGCTGGGGCCTCAGGGCCTCAGGAAGGGCAGGACAACATGGGACAGGTTCTAACCACTCCAGTCCACCCACTCCTATAGCCCCGCCAACTTTAAAGGCACACACTCAAACAGCCTTGAGACAATTCCCTGGCACCCGGCTGCTGAGGGATTCAGAGGTCAGGGTGGGGTGAGAGGAGGGAGGTTGTCCAGGAGGGTTTCTGGGACTGCACAGGAACAGGCAGGTTGTAGGCTGGGGGAGAGGAGAACCCTCATGGCTTTGGTGTCTGCCTGCAGTGGACAGAGGCTTTAGAGGATGCAGGATGCTTCCCCATCCACAGGCAATGAGCATTAGATCCCCTCAAGCAGACAAGCCCTCAGGGCTGAGGGGAGAAGTGCCAGGTGTGAGGCAGCCCCTGGTTTCCCACCGAAATTGGCCTTGAGCAACACCTGACTACATCAGGCATAAATGGGTTTTAATGCCTCTCTTTAACACCTGCTAATCTTTTAAACAAGAGGATGCTTCCTGACAGCGGGATTTTTTTTTTCTTCAAGTAGCAGCCTGTAATAAAGGCAAAAAAAGGAGATTGGATGAAAGCCCAGAAACATATGAAACAAAAAGTCCTAAATCCACGTATCAAAACATTCTGCTGGTTTTCTATCTTCAGGACCGAGCTTCGCAGCTACTGCCGAGGAAGCAGGAAGCCACCAGAGGACAAGGCATCCAGGTCAGAATTAGCACAACAGGAGCACAGGGACCTGCCAGAGGGTCCATCCCAGTTCATGTTTCAGCTGGGAAAACTGAGGCACAGAGAGGTATGAAACCTGCCCACGGTCACGGTGCTGTGTGGCCCAAGACCACGACTCAGATCCTTGGATTCGCAGGCCAGTACTTTTCCACCATGGGAATTCTTAAAAACCCAATGAGGATCAAACATTATTTTTAAAACTTTAAGTCACTTCGATTTTTCCATTTTCATTCTTCATCAGTATTGCACAACTCTTAGTGAAATTCTGGGCATCAATGGCTGAAATCTAGCATGAGTTGTTTTCCCCTTAGGGATAAAATATTTCAGAAAAAAAAAAAAGAGCAAATTTGAGAATAAGACACAAAATAGGGATATGTGAGTGTCTGTAATAAATTCCTCTGTCAACTCTCAAGTATGAATTGTCAACAGACGGTTTCTCATCGAAGTTAATATCAGGTTAAATCTTCTATTTTAGATGTTTGTGCAGTTGTTTTTTGTTTTTTTTAAACTTACCTACAGACCTTTGCAGGAGATGTTTTCTGTATGAAAATAAAGAGACGTACAATTAGTCTTTGAAAACTCTTTTTTGTTCCCCTTAAAAGTAAATATTTAGATCAAGAGGCACATAAATTATGAATAAGTTTATTGGGGGCTTAACAACTTGCTGCACTTCAGTATTTATTGAGGCTTTTTCTGCTTGGACCAAACGAGGGATGACTCAGAGGTCCAGAGTTGAGTCGCTTCGGCAAAGCACTCTGGATGAGTAGTTTTACCGCTCTCACCATTAGAACTATGTTTACCCACAAAAAAGCAAAATGACGCCACGCCCAAGCCTTCGAATATCTTACACACCATGAAAATGAGAGAGAAGTCAATGTACCCTGTGTAGGAAAAGAAATTAAGCTCTTGTTCAACTTCTCTTCCGGTCTGTCTCTTTAAATTTTCCTTTCATTAATCCAGCTCTGACCCTGAGCAGTGCTATAAATTCTCTGGTATGATGTGTAAATTAGGAAACAGAAAAAAGGAGAAGGGACATTTGACTCCATCCCTAGAGAGAAGGAAAAAAGGGCAGATTGGGGAAATCTAAAGTTGCCGTTTAGAGCTCCCTGAAATGAAGAAATTCTAATGCATACTCTACCTTTGTTACCTCCTTCTTATTGGTCAGTTTAAGGGAATTAGTCCTTGACACTTGGGAAGATAGCTCTAGCAGGAAGAAGCATAGATTTTTTTCATATTTGACAGGGGAAATGGTCAGGCAAGATAATAGATTAATTCTGGACATTTCAGAAGGATTATTTTGCTAGTTGAGGACAAACTGCAATTTTCTTTTACTCCAGCTCAGATAAAGTGTGAACTATGAACATATTGTTTAAAAATGAAGCACTCAAAAGGTACAAAATTTCAGTTATTATAAAATAAGCAAAGCCTGGGGACGAAACATACAGCACGGTGACTATAGTTAACAGCAGTGTATTGTATTGAATATATTCGAAAGTTGCTAAGAGAGTAGATCTTAAAACTTCTCATCACAAAGGAAACAAATGCGTGGTGATGGATGTTAACTAGACTTATTGTGGCGGTCATTTCGAAATATATACAAACATTGAATCAGTATATTGAACACCTGAAACAAATATAAATTTATCTGTCAATTATATCTCAATTTTTTAAAAAAGTAAAGCACTGGCAAGAGAAACATGTGGTTTGCTATGAAGGCTATCTTAAGCTTTCATGTGTGACTAAATAATCCACGTTGCATTGTTTTAATAAACACACGATGTTGCGTGTACAAAGCAGTGGCTCCCATCTTTAGATCCTTTGTTATCTCTTATACGTTCTCTCTCATCTTTGTGGAACCGGCCTCAGCAGAGACCAAAGGCAAAGCCAACCTTGACTCCACTGCCCCCCAGTGGGGACACTTATCCCTTCAGTACAGAAAGGATGACACACGCAGAGGTGACCTGGCTCCCACCTGGATAATTGCCCCCAACATGGGAACATGTGTCACTAAAAGATTCTGAGCTAAATAAAGCTGACATCTCCAGAGTTCGGAGGAAGAGAAGGAATGGAGAGGATGGAAACAAAAAGGATGCTCAACTCTTCCATGAGTGACATGTTCACCAGCAGGTGCTCGGGGACTTCCGTTACAGGGCAGCCAATCAACCCTAGTGCCTGAAGGAGTTTGCCCATCCCACAGAGGAGAGTCCTTTTTATTTTGACCTCCTTTGACTACAGGAGCCCAGAACCTGAGACATGCAGGGTGAAAACCAGCAAGAAATTCATTACGGAGCTCCAGCCCCCGAGGCTCCAAGAGCAACCGAGGAGTCGGTGTCTGGGATTCCCCTCCGCAAGCCCCTCGGTCCCCAAATCACCCAGTGATAAGTCCCAACGACATCTCAGCTCTGCGTGGGTCACTGTAACTCCTCAAGAGTCACGTTGCCAAAGTCACAGTAAGTAGCTAACGCGCTCTGAGGACTGCTGGTGCTGTCCTAGGTGCTCGACACATATTGACTCGTGTCACTACGGGTTAATGTACAGTCCTGGGTTACGTACTAGGATTCTGAGGCACAGAGAAATCAGGTAAGTTGCTTGGGATCACAGGGTGTGCGCCCAGGCGATCGAGCTCCAGAGTCTGACCCTTTTGGGCTCTATTCTGTCACAGCCAGTCCTGCAGTGACATCCACCGGCCCTTTCAGGCCACTGGCCTTCATTGGCTGCTTCCTCTCTGCCTGGAGTGCCCAGAAAATTCCTACCCATTTGTGTGACTGGGCTCGTATCTGGCCCTTGCAAGCAGACTTAACCGCGGTCGCCCCCCAGTGCACCCACATGCCTGTTTCAGCCCATAGGACATTCTATGGGCATCCCAGCACCTGTTTACATGTCAGCTCCCCATTCAGCCTGAGTTCTGTGAGGGTGATAAATGTGTCTTTCCACATCTGTAGCTGTAGAGCTAGCCAGATGTTTGACATGTAGCATATACTTCATAAATGTTGAGCAAACCAATGAATGAATAGCAGTATTCTAAGGTTAAGCCGTGGCAAATATACCTGCCAAGTTATTGAGACTAATTCCACAAGCCACACGCTAACTTAGAGTTAAACTGTGTGCGTGTGTGTGCACATACACAAAGAACTAGTTATGGATGGTGACAATGAACCACAGCCCAGATAGAGCTTATTCTCATCATCTGGGAGCGAGGTCATGAAGAGGTCAACTCTACTCTCCCAAGGCCATTCTAGGGAAACCTGACACGTAATGGACCAAAGAGCCTACGTCCGGAGTCACAGGTCAAGTCTGAGAGGTGGCGTCCAACCATGTTCCTCATGACACCCAGTCGCTTGGTCATGGCTCCAGGCTGAATGATCAGGAATGTAAATCATATGAAGAACATATCATGGTCATCTTCATCACAGAGCAGATTTTAACACCAAACTACTAGAAACCACCTACAAATCTACAAACAGGGACCAGCCAACACACTGCATTTCATTCCATGTGGAGAGAAATGAGGCATTTAGGGATTCCGACAAATCGATCAATGGAAAAACAGGACGTATTTTATCATTTCTGTAAATATTCTACATATGTCTGAACTGAATGAATGAAGTCGTTTCCTCTAGGAAGTAAGATCACAGTTGATTTCTGACATTTTTTTTCTCTGCATTTTCTACGACTTATTACATCTTATGATATTCATAGAGGAAAGAAAGGGTTTTTTAAAAAAATAACTAAATAGATATGTAACCCACTCAATTGTTTCCTAATTTGCCCTGACAAGAAATGATGTTGTTTTGTGTCAGTAATGAAATGGAGTTGAAGATTCACAATATTTTGGTATTCACCCAATTGCTTCCGAGGAAAGGTCCTCTTGGCCTGGGAGTCTGACCCTTGCGCTCTGCTTGGTGGAAATACACTGAGGACCCTCCAGCCCCATGTCCCACCCTCACCTTCACCTACCTGATCTGACTTGTCCATCAAGAAGCAATACCCCATGGAGGGACTTCCCTGGCGGTCCAGTGGTTAAGACAGCGCACTTCCAATGCAGGGGGCGCAGGTTCTATCCCTGGTCAGGGCATTAAGAACCCACATGCCACATGGTGTGCCCCCCCCCCCCCAAAAAAGAAAGAAGCAGTATCCCATGAAGATGGCTGGATCTCATCCCTAGACCAGGTAAATCTTCATTTTTAATTCACACAAAAGGTATCCATTTTGTGAATAAGAAGTCTTCTTTGGAATTTGAGTGGAATTGAGTCAGGGTCTGACTAGTCTCCCAGAACTTGAGCAGCTCCTGGAACCTAAGTGACCAGTTAGTGAATATTTAAGCTCAGCTCTAGTCCTTGGGCTGAGACCTGGGGCTCCAAAAAACACCCAACCACAGGGTCACTGCAATGAGAGGGCTGGAAGCAGGCAGAGACACGGGGAAAATCATACTGTATTTCATTGAATTTAAGATGCCACTGATTGTAAAATTAGTATTTTTTATACTACTAAGAAAAAAACCCAACAAACATTAGACCAGGACATACCATTGACTATAAAACCACCCTGATTTTAGATCGTGAAAACTTATTTTTTAAAGAATTATTTTATTTTTACTTATTTATTTTTTTGGCCACACTGCGCAGCATGTGGGATCTTAGTTCCCTGACCAGGGATCGAACCTGTGCCCCCTGCAGCGGAAGCGCTTAGCCACTGGACCGCCAGGGAAGTCCCGAGAGTGAAAATGTTAGATGTGAGAAAAAGCAGCACATGTTAGAATTGATGAAATATGGAAATTGCAAGCTGGTGTGATACGTAAAATGTCAGCTGAAGGTGCCCAAGCTGCCTGAGGCGTCAGGGAAGGTTCCCACGGCAGGCAGATTAGCCTAAAGTACGGAGCCTCGCTGGAGTCACTACAGGCTTCCCTCGCCTCCTGCAATCCGTTCTCCTCCGCAGAAACTGGGGGAGCTTTTAGCACTGTGAAGCTGCACAGTGTCTGTGGGCCTTATTACCCAACCAGCTCCTCCCAGTGCACTCAGCATAAATCCCAAATTCCTAGCTCAGCCCCAAAGGCCCGTCTCCAGCCTCGTCCTAAGCGCCCCCTCTCTTTCTCATCAAGCTCCAGCCACACAGCCCAGAATGACTTCCACCAAGTCCCTTCCTATGTCTGGTCCTTTGCATCTGCTGCTTCCTCTTCCAGGGAGCCCTCCCCTCCCCACCATGTCTAACTCCTGTTCATCCTTTGTCTGTGTTTAATGTCACTTCCCCAGAGTGGCCTGCTCTGGCCACACAATCGAGCAGGTGGGTCTAATTCTTAGTTTAATGTCTGTCTCCCCTTCTGGGCTGATGCTCTGTAAAGAGCAGCAATCATGCCTCTTGCTTACGACTGTAGACCCAGGCCTGGCAGGGTGGCCACGTACACAGGGATGTAGAAATATTCATAGAGTGAATGGGACAGGGGTGCACGAAGAGGTTTGCTGACAGATCAGAGGAGAGAAACACTACAACATGGTCTAGGGAAAGTGAGAAGTTTGGTTGTGGCTGGAATTTCTGAAGCCAGAGAGGTGGATGGGGCCCAGGTGGTGAAGGGCTTTGCAGGCCTCCAGGTAGCCTCTGGGTGGTCCTGAAGGGCTGTATGTAGGGGGACATGATCAGATCCATGTGTCAGAAAGGTCCCTTGGTGTGTGGAGTGGCCTTGGCCACAGGAAAGGTGTCTCTCTGTCCCTGGCACACCTGTAAGAAGTGTGCTGCCTGCATGGCCCACTAGCCTCTCTCGAGCTTAAAAGTTCCAAAATTTTGATGTGAAGTCATCTGAAACAGGTAGATGTTAGAAAAAAGGAACTCTCAAAACAGGTACCAAACTAAAACCAAACTAAAACCACCAATCACGTTAAAAATCATAGCTAAACTACATAGTAGGTACAAAGCACCTACTATGTGCCGGAAAGTGTTGGGAGCACCTACTAGCACCTGTGCTGCATGGTGTCCTCCCAACGACTCTTTGAGTGGGTGACATTTCTCTCCCCTTTTCATGGATGGAGGCCCGGAAGGTGAGGAACGTGTTCCAACTGGTGGAAGGCAGAGCTGGGGTCGGGAGGAAAAGAGGATGTCCACAGGGTGGGCTAAAGCTCCCAGCACCCTGTGGGAAGCTCACCAAATATTTCCTCATGGTGATGGGATGCGGTGGGGGGAGGGGGGGAATGCCCCACCACCACCATCCAGGCCCACAGTCATCTCTACCTCGGCCCCCCAGGCCCTGGCTCAGCGCTGGCCTGGGGTTGAGGTCCATTCAGACCCACAAGCATCCCCACGTATGTTTGGTGAACTGAAGGGATGTCAAAACCATGATCCTTGAAATTAGTGACCACCGTCAGGCAGGCTTGACTGGAAACAGATGGCAGGAAAAAGCAGACACTAATCTGGACCATACATAAAAAGCACGTCTTTGAAATTTCAAGCAAGGGAAGTGAAACTAGCCTTTTGCGTAATCATTTACCTCTTTCTGAAAACACTTCTGGTGCCCACAGATTATAACTTCAGCTACATTATGCAAAGTGAGAAACACAGGAATGGCCTGAAAGAAAACAAAGGAATAAGCATGAAAATATTTTCTTGGATCTCATAATTACATAATTCTTGATTTATGCTTAAAAATAAAGATCTGTGGGTACTTTTGGCATTCACATTGATACTGCTCTCCAGCAAAAACTCTTCTGCGTGGATCAGTGCTCTTGCTTGCAGCACTGTGCTCAGTAGGGTGGATGCACAGTCTCCCCTCTTACGGGTATTCTCATCATTTATTAAGCACCTACTGTGTGTCAGGTGCCATGCCAGGTGCAGGGGACACATCCTGTGAACAGGTGGACACATGTTAGAGAGGCTGTCCCTATTGAGGTAAGAGCTCTGACCGAATGCACAGAAAGGCATGACCAACCCAGTGTGGGCAGAGCACGCCTTCTCGGAGGAAGTGAAGTCCAAAGTCTAAACGGGAACAGAATGATGAACTAGAATGAGCCCAGGGACTTCCCTGGTGGTCCACTGGTTAATACTCCGCACTCCCAACGCAGCGGACGTGGGTTCGATATCTGGTTGGGGAACTGAGATCCTGCATGACGCATGGCACGGCCAAAGGGAAAAAAGAAAAAAAAAGAATGAGCCCAGCAAAAAGAGACAAGGTGGGAGAGGGCTGGAGGCACACACAAGGGCCCAGAGAAGCGAGGAAGCCCACCTCCTCGGGGAACCAGGGGGAGTTAAGAGGGGTGGAATATAGTGTGGAAGGGAAAAGTGGGGGAGAGGAAGGTGGAGAGGTAATCACGGGCCCTATCAGGGAATCAGGACCGTCCCAAGGACCACAAGACACTGAAGAGTTTAAAGCCCACCGTGCATGATTTGATCTGCGCGTTTAGGGGACCTTGGACTGCTGGGTGGGGCAAAGGAGGCAGAGATGGTTGCGAAAGTTCAGTGGTGTGGTAGACGGAAAAACGGCCCTCCAAACTATAGCTGCATCCTAGTCCCTGGAACCCATGAATGTCACCTCATAGGGTGAAAGAAGGGCCTTTGCAAATGGGATTAAGGTGAGAATCTGGAGGTGGGGAGATTACTCTGGATTACCTGGGTGGGTCCCAAATGCAAACACAGATCTCCTCCTAAGAGACAGGCAGAGATCTGACACACACAGAGGAGGAGGTGATGTGACCCCAGAGGCAGAGACTGGAATGATGCAGCCACGAGCCAAGGAGTGCCAGCAGCCACCAGAAGCTGGAAGAGAGACGCAAGGAGCAGATTCTCCCCTAGAGCCTCTGGAGGGAGCGCAGCTCTGCTGACACACCTTGGTACTCACTTCAGACCCCTGGCCTCCAGAACTGGGAGAGAATAAATTTCTGTTGTTTTAAGCCACCTAGGTAGGTGGTAATTTGTTACAGCAGCTACAGGAAACTAATACAAGGAATGACAAGACGGTGGCCTGAACTTGGTAGTGGCAGCGAAGATGGAGAAAAGTGGCCACATGAGGGAAATATTTAGGAGACTGAACTGCAGTAAATGATGGGATAACTGGGATCAACTTTGTACCCCAAAAAAGGGGGGGGGAGGGAGAAGATATAAAAAAAGGTAACACTCCAGTGGGTTATCAAGATACACAGAGTACCCACTGCACATTGACTATCGCTGGGCTGTTTGCTAAGAACAGCAGTCTTTCCTAATTTGATAGATAATCTTGACAAGGTAAAGGGGAGGGGTTAAGGGGTGAGGGATTGTGCTATTGTCTTTGTTGCTGCTGCTGCTGCTAATGTCTCCTGGAAAGCAGAAAAAGATCAAGAATAATGCATGGGTTTTGGCATCAGCTGGGCTTCAGGCTCCAGCTCCACCATCTGCTAGTGGAGCAGGGCACGTATCCAAACAGTTTGCTCCTCTGTAGTATGAGGATAACAATATCTACGACCTGGAGCTATAGGGAGGGACGATGGAAATAATGCAGGAGCACTGCATGAAGGCTGTCAATATTAAGAGGTACCAAGCCCACGCTTAGTGGCCTCGATGGAGGACCCTGAGCTGGGAAATTATTCCAGCTTCGAGGACTCTTAAGTGGGTCTTTAAGCAGATGTTGCTGCCCAACCACTTCCAGATGGATTTATTCTTTATCTTTTGCCTGCGTTGGGTCTTTATTACTGCGTGCAGGCTTTTCTCTAGTTGCGATGAGCGGGGGCTACTCTTCGTTGTGGTGCACGGGCTTCTCATTGTGGTGGCTTCTCTTGTTGTGGACCACAGGCTCTAGGCGCGGGCTTCAGTAGTTGTGGCACGTGGGCTCAGTAGTTGTGGCTCGCGGGCTCTAGAGCACAGGCTCAGTAGTTGTGGCGCACGGGCTTAGTTGCTCCGCGGCATGTGGGATCTTCCCAGACCAGGGCTTGAACCCGGGTCCCCTGCATTGCCAGGTGGATTCTTAACCACTGTGCCACCAGGGAAGTCCCTGGGAGTATATATTTTTACCTTGTCATTAAGACTTTTATAACTGTATCGCTCTGCCCTATTTTGGTATTTTGTTCTAACTTGCACTGTTTCATTTCATTCTGAGCTCTCACCTTACATTTTTCTTGCCTTTTTAACGTTCTCTACTCCTTTAAAAGTGCAGCTGAAACTTTTTTCCTTTTAAAATCATCCTTTATTTTAATTATTTTCTATGTTTTTCATCTTTTGTGCTTCTTTTTATCCCTCTTAAACTTTTATATTTTCAATTATTCTTTATGTATTTTAAGATTATTAATGAGATTTTTTTTTTAATTGGCTTTATCCATTGGGCTCATGTTTGGAAAACATGGGCCCTGGCCTTCTAGGTCTGAGCCTAAGAAGATAGCACAGAAAATCTTAGAGAGGTTAACCCTGTGGTACATGACATGAAAATGACAGGGCAACCTGGATCTTATTTATTTAAAATTAAGCCCTGATTTAAAATGCTTTTGCCTCCTTGACTATAAAATCAGTAAGGAAATGAGATTTAGGGTGACTCTAGACGCTAACTCTAGACTTCAAGGAGGCTTAATTTTCTCAATTTTATAAACTGTGGACAGGTTTCTCCATCTGCCTAGGAGATTCTGATCAGATTCTGGAAAAGGATCTATCTACACATACAGAACTGATTTTACTTTATTTTTTATTCTATTTTATTTTTAATTTTTTAAAAGAAAGTTGCCTTTTAATTTTTTAAATTAAAAAAATTTTTTTAAATATTTATTTATTAATTATTTATTTTTGGCTGCACCGGGTCTTAGTTGCAGCATACAAGATCTTTAGTTGCAGCATGTGGGTTCCTTAGTTGTGGCATGCGAACTCTTAGTTGAGTCATGCATGCAGGATCTATTTCCCCAACCACGGATGGAACCCAGGCTCCCTGCACTGGGAGCGCGGAGTCTTAACCACTGGACCACCAGGGAAGTCCCCAGAACTGATATTAAAGTTCTCTAATAATAGATACCAACAATGTGTTCAGCACAGTGCCAATTATTTTAATTGCATTCTTTTATTTAAACCATATATCAACAACTGTATCCACGGATGCTTGTTGCCCTGATTTACAGACAAGGAAACTGAAGCTTAGAGTGATGGGGCAGCTTGCTGGCGAGCTCACAACTAGTTCTGGGTATGACTCCGTGACTCCAACCCAGTAACGGCAACGCCCACACTCCCAGTCTCGATGTTATGGAGCCAAATTACAGCAAGCCCCCAGTATAAACTTCCTGGACCTACAACTGTGCAATGTCCAATACCATTGTGTTCCAAATCCTGCCAGTCTGCTTCCTCCAGCAATATAACTGGTATGATCTAAAACAGATGACCTCGGAGTAAACTCTATGCCATTTTTTAAAGGGATATCTTCCATTTCCACTTAAAAATTTTTTAATCTGAATTTGTCAAGCCATTTTTTCGACTGAGGAGCTAACAGGCTTTAGAAACAGTAATTCTACGACTGATTTTATCAGCCTCCATAGAGATCTATCAAAAACAGTATTAAGGCAGTCTACAATTTATGATTACTGATTTTCCCTTGGCCTCTACCTCTGTGCATGAAGCCCCAGTCTGAACTACGTTATTAGTTCAAGAGACTCCAGTGACTGATTATTTTAGAAAACCTGCCTTTTATCTTTATGGAGTGAGGTTCAGCAGGACTTATTTTTGTGAAATCAGACAGAAGTTCTGAGAAATGAGGACTTCCCTGGCAATCCAGTGGTTAAGACTCTGCGCTTCCACTGCAGGGGGCACAGGTTCAATCCCTGGTTGGGGAAATAAGATCCCACAAGCCACACGGTGCAGGCAAAAGAAACAAAATAAAAAGTTCTGAGATATGATAACAATAATAGCTAAGATATATTGAATACTTACTATGTACCAGACTCTGTTTGTTTTTTTTAATGTTACTGCTGTCACTGTACGTTTGTTTTTTTTTTAATAAATTTATTTATTTATTTATTTTTGGCTGTGTTGGGTCTTCGTTGCCACACGTGGGCTTTCTCTAGTTGCGGGGAGCCGGGGCTACTCTTAGTTGCAGTGCATGGGTTTCTTATTGTGGTGGCTTCTCTTGTTGTGGAGCATGGGCTCTAGGGTGCACGGGCTTCAGTTGTTGCAGCGCACGGGCTCAGTGGTTGTGGCTTGCAGGCTCTAGAGCATAGGCTCAGTAGTTATGGCACACGGGTTTAGTTGCTCCGCGGCATGTGGGATCTTCCCAGAGCAGGGCTCAAACCCATGTCTCCTGCACTGGCAGGCAGATTCTTAACCACTGTGCCACCAGGGAAGCCCCCAGACTCTGTTTTAATTGCTTTTACATATTGAATCATCATAATAAATCTATGAGGGAGATACTATTAACATTCCAGTTATACGGATGAGAAAAAAGAAAGGATGTATTTTGGTTCTCCTTTTTAACCTGCCTCTTAATAATTTGAAATCACTTTAGACGATCTAGACACTAGCTTGCTGCTAAAGAGAACAGAAAAGTAAGTCTGTTCTTTCACATCAAGACTCTAGGAACGGGCTCAATAACAAAAGGTCCCCACCATATTTCATCAGGAAAAATGGCTCAAGATC